ATCTGACCCGGGGGGGGGGTCGACACCCCCCCCCCCCTCCCGGCGGGGGAGGGATCAAAGGGAAGGGGCTTCCCTTCGACTCAATTACGAGGTTGCTCAAGGTCGGCTTGGCTGGAGCCCAGGGGAAGAGGAGTCCCAGGGGGGGGCGTCGTATCTGACCCGGGGGGGGGGTCGCACCCCCCCCCCCCTCCCGGCGGGGGAGGGATCAAAGGGAAGGGGCTTCCCTTCGACTCAATTACGAGGTTGCTCAAGGTCGGCTTGGCTGGAGCCCAGGGGAAGAGGTCTCCCAGGGAAAGGGAAGGACAGAGACGACGAGTACAAAGAATGACGGAGATGACGGCTCGAACGGAAAAGCCCCTCACACACGCCGACAGGGTCGGCGGATATTGATAGGAAACAGTGATTCACCTTTCCCCGAAGGGGAAGATGGGGGTTGGAGGAGGAGCCTCCTTAGACCACCAATGCCCAGAGTGCTGGTGGGATTAGGTGGGGACGTCGGTTAAGGAACGTCCTTGTCCTCCTCTGACGAGGGCGGCGGTGGCATCCATGGCAAAGTGTCGACTGGTGTTCCGCCAAATCCCACACTCGTGATTCCTGATACAAGGGTTCATCATCCAATGCCCTCACCGCAATATATCCTAGGTTGGCGCAACATTCCCAGAAACCATGTTTATTCAATTTTGTTTGTTTTTCAAGTACAAATAGGACCACCCTGCGGATGATAAGGAGGCTGGGGGGGGGGGCAGGGGGAGGCGGTCGATTTGCGATGGCTGTGGGTTCCTTGGTGTTTTTTTTCAACTGTCCTTGTCGCGCACATTTGCCCATCGGGGCAACCATCGGAACAACCATCGGGATAACCGTCGGGACAACCATCGGGACAACCATCGGGACAACCATCGGGACAACCATCGGGACAATCATCGTGACAACCATCGGGACAACCACCAGGACATCCATCGGGACAACCGTCGGGACAACCATCGGGAAAACCATCGGGACAAACATGTGGACAACCATCGGGACAACCATCGGGACATCAATCGGGACAACCATCGGGACATCCATCGGGACAACCATCGAAACAACCATCGGGACAACCATCGGGACAACCATCGACGGGAAAAAGCCATCGGGACAACCACCTGGACAACCAGCCCATCGGGACAACCGTCGGGACAACCATCGCGAAAACCATCGAGACAACCACCAGGACGACCATCGGGACAACCATCGGGACAACAACCGGGACGACACAATCGGGACAACACCATCGGGACAACCATCGGGACAATCGGGACAACCATCGGGACAATCATTGGGACAACCATCGGGACAATCATCGGGATAACCATCGGGACAACCGTCGGGACAACCGTCGGGACAACCATCGGGACAACCATCGGGACAACCATCCGGACACCACCATCGGATCAACACCGTCGGGACAACCATCGGGACAACCATCGGGACAACCATCGGGACATCCATCGGGACAACCGTCGGGACAATCATCGGGTCAACCATCATGACAACCAATCGGGAAAACCACCAGGACAACCATCGGGACAATCATCGGGGGACAACCATCGGGACAACCATCAGGACAATCATTGGGTCAACCATCGGAACAATCATCGGGACAACCATCGTGACAACCATCGGGAGAACCATCGGGACAACCATCGGGACAACCATCGGGACATCCTTCGGGATAACCATCGGGACAAGCATCGGGAAAACCATCGGAACAACCATCGGGACAGTTATCGGGACAACCGTCGGGACAACTATGGGAACAAACCATCGGGACAACCACCTGGACAACCAGCCCTTCGGGACAACCGTCGCGACAACCATCGGGACAACCACCCGGACGACCATCGGGACAACCATCGGGACACCATCGGGACGACACCATCGGGACAACACCATCGGGACGACCATCGGGACAATCGGGACATCCGTGGGGAGAACCATCGGGGCAACCACCAGGACATCCATCGGGATAACCATCGGGACAACCATCGAGACAACGGTCGGGACAACTGTCGGGACAACCATCGGGAGAACCATCGGGACAACCATGGGAACAAACCAGTCGGACAACCAGCACATCGGGACAACCAGCCCATCGGGACAACCATCGGGACAACCAGCCCATCGGGACAACCGTCGCGACAACCATCGAGACAACCACCAGGACAACCATCGGGACAACCATCGGGACAACCATCGGGACGACACCATCGGGACAACACCATCGGGACAACCATCGGGACAACCATCGGGACAACCATCGGGACAACCATTCGGACATCCATCCGGACAACCATCGGGACAAACATCGGGACATCCATCGGGACATCATCGGATCAACACCATCGGCACAACCATCGGGACAACCATCGGGACAACCATTCGGACATCCATCCGGACAACCATCAGAACAACCATCGGGACAACCACCGGGACAGCCAATCGGGGCAACCATCAGGACGACCATCGGGACAACCATCGGGACAACCATCATGACATCCATCGGGACAACCATCGGGACTACCAGCGGGACAACTATCGGGACAACCAGCGGGACAACCATCAGGACGACACCATCGGGACAACACCATCGGGACAACCATCGGGACAACCATCGGGACAACAATTGGGAGAACCACCAGGACAACCACCGGGACATCCGTCGGGACAACCATCGGGAGAACCATCGGGACATCACCATCGTTTCAACACCATCGGGACAACCATCGGGACAACCATCGGGACAACCATCGGGACATCCATCGGGACAACCATCGGGACAACCATCGGGACAATCATCGGGACAACCATCGGGACAACCATCGGGACAACCATCGGGACAACTATCGGGACAACCATCGGGACAACCATCGGGACATCCATCGGAACAACCATCGGGAGAACCATCATGACAACCATCGGGAAAACCACCAGGACAACCATCTGGACAACCATCGGGACAACCACCAGGGCATCCATCGGGACAGCCATCAGGCAACCAGCGGGACAACCATCATGACAACCATCGGGAAAACCACCAGGACAACCATCTGGACAACCATCGGGACAACCACCAGGGCATCCATCGGGACAGCCATCAGGCAACCAGCGGGACAACCAGCGGGACAACCAGCGGGACAACTATGGGGACAACCATCGGGACAACCGTCGGGGCAATCATCGGATCAACAATCGGAACAACGGATCGGGACAACCATCGTGACAACCATCGGGAGAACCATCGGGAAAACCATCGGGACAACCAGCGGGACATCACCATCGGGACATCACCATCGGATCAAAACCATCGGGACAACCATCGTGACAACCATCAGGACAACCCGCGTGAAAACCACCAGGACATCCATCAGAAGAACCATCGGGACAACCGGCGGGACAACCATCGTGACAACCATCGGGACAACCATCGGGACAACCATCGGGACAACCGTCGGGACAACCATCGAAATAACCAACGGGACAATTATTGGGACAACCATCGGGACAACCCGCGGGACAGCCATCGGGGGCCGCGCCCGGCCGTGGGGGCGGGGGGGCGGGCGACTTTTTGGGCTGTATGTGGCTTCTACAAGTGCAGGACCTCGCGCAGCTTCGCTTCGCCCGCACGTACGGCACGGAGCGAAACCGGAACCGATCTCCCGCGTGGGGTCACTTCCGTTCACACCCCCCGATCTCCGATCTCTGGCGAGAACGTGCGTGATCGGGGGGCCGCCCACGTCACGGTTCGCGCGGGCGCCGTCGGGGAATTTACCAGCCTGGAACCTATCCCTATCCCTATGTTGGACATCGCCTCGTCGCGATGGCGATCTTAGGGATTCCCTCAGTTTCTGAGGGTGCATCCCTAAGATTGTCATCGCCTTTTGGCGTGTCAATCTCAGGGATAGGGATAAGTTCGAGGCTGGTTAGGAATGCCACTTTTCAGACGGTGCCTTCGCAAATCGTGACCTCACAAAGGGGAGGGGGAAGGGCTGGGGGTGGAGGGGGCGGCGGGGCCAGTCTCAGGCGTGATCGCGATCACTCGGGAGCCACATGCGAACCCTACCCCTGCTCCCCACGCTTTCTGAGGGGGGGGTGGGGCTCACTTCGTTCGGGAACTCCCGAGCGAAGTGAACCCCACCCTCCCCCTCAGAAATCGTGGGGGGCAGGGGCAGGGTTCGCATGTGGCCCCCTAATCATCAGAAGCATGAGCTCCAGGCACTGGGTGCGGTCCGCGGGCGGCGAGCTCGTCCCCGGGGGGGCAGGAAGCTGCCGGCCCGCCGCAGAGGGCACGCCACCGTGCCCGGCCGGCCCCGGGGCAATCCTGAGCTTGGCATCGCTCGGACGTGTGCATGTTTCCTTCGGCGAGGACCATCGAGGAGCATCCTGGATCATTTGGCGAAAAAGCCACGCACGAAACCGAAAAAAGCACAGGGAATGGACGTCCGAGCAATGGCCAGTGAGGGTCTCGGAGTCGGCTGCACGGAGGAATGGATCTCGGCTGCAGTGACCTTTGGTGCGGGCCCTCTCCCTGTCGCCTCGTCGTGCAGTTCCCCCCTCTGCGCTCGTCTCGTGCTCGTCGTCGCCCTGCAACTCGAGCGGAGTTTCCGAGTGTGCCGCAGGTGTTGGAAGGATTCTGGCGGCAGCGCTTCCAGTTGCCATGACGTGCCGGCGACGAACCTACGGGTGCGGGCCCACTGGGGTCCCCCAGTCGCCGAACGCGATGCGATAGCAGCGGCTGGCGCGCTTAGATTAGGCCCTCCGCGTTCCCATGAAGCCGCGTACCAAAGGTTACTCCTGCCCAAGGTCACTTCTGCGAGTATCCGACGGATGTACACCATGCCAGGGCCCAGGATGGCCTTGGCCAGGTATGGTGGTGTAAAGGTGTTCTCTGCGCGTGCACACGCCAGACGTGAACAGTAACATAAGTATGTTTGTTTGGATTTCTGATTTGAGCCTACTTGATACGCGCATTCCTGCTTCAAGGGCAGTCTGAAGCCGCCTCGAAACGCATCACGAACCAGCGTGCCGATGCCCGACCTACTCTGAACGCTCCCTGATTGATTTTTTTCACACATTACTTCTACCAACTGGCGTGTGAACATCACAGTTGGTCGTCCGCGGACGGCAGGTGTCCGCCGGCGTTGGACCCTCTCCCATTCCGAACACCCCTGTCGGCGCCTTCGGCGCCGCCCCATGCGCGTTTCGCGCGCCGGGGGAGGGTGTTGGGAGTGTGTCCAACGCTGGCAGACATGCAGAAGTCTGCCGTCCGCGGCCATCTGAAGTTCATGACTGTATGGCTTCCTGGCCCCTTCTCGTCAGCGACCAGATCGTGAGAAGTCCCGACCCGGAGCTGGACCTGCCAGGCCTGCAGCCTGGGCGGTACAGGTGGGGCGTCCAGTGGTGGTCCGACGACTCCTTTGGCGCCAGGTCCGCCGAGGCCGAGTCCGAGGTTCTGGTGGCGCCCCGCGCCGACGTCTGGGACGGCGTCCCCTGGCTGGGGGCACACGGCTCCAACGAGTTCCGCCTCGAGGCACATGTTCCAGCCGCAGGCGACGCAGAGTTGCTGGTCGCCACCCTCGGCTTCGGCTACGCGCAGATCAACGGCCACGAGGTGTCCAGGGACGTGCTCGGCTACTCAGGCTGGACGGTCACAGAGAAGCGCGTGCTCTACCGCAGCTACAACGTGACGGGCCTCCTCGGCAGCGACGGGCTGGCCGAGATTTTCGTCGTGCTGGGCTGCGGGTACCGCTGCGATGGGAGTGGCAAGCTGCGCTTCCCGGGGAGGCCACCACCCGCCCACGACGCGATCCCGAAGGTGCTCCGCCTGCAGCTGCGAGTCGGGGGGAAGCTCGCGGTGCACAGCGGCAGCCCCGGGTGGCAGTCACGGCGGGGCCCGATCGTGGACGATTCCGTGTACGACGGAGATCAAAGGCGGAAAGGGTACCCATACTGCTACCCTTCCCTTGTCTTCGTTTTCGTCTTTTGGGGCCTCCTCGGAGGCCCTCGCCGCCACCGCTGGATGCGCCTCGCAATCCCGAGTAGCGGTATCGGTACCGCTTCGTTTCCTCAGGAGAGACGTACCACCAGATGGCTGCCACGGACTGGACCGGGGCCGCTGCGCTCCCCCTGGGCCGCGGCCCTGCCGGCGCCATGGTTCCCGCCAGCTTCCCGGGCGTCCAGATCACGCAGGTCGACGCGCCGGTGGCCGTCTCCGAGCCGTCTCGTGGCGTGTTCGTGGTGGACTTTGGCTCCAACGTTGCCGGCGTCTGCCGCATCTCCATCCCCTCGGCGGCCACCGTCGTGCTGAGGCACGGCGAGGTGCTGCAGCACTCGTCCATGCCCGCGGCTCCGGTGCCCCGGCGGGGCCGTGTCTATTTCGGCAACCTGCGCACGGCAACGGCGACCGACACCGTCGTCACGGCGGGGCCTTTGGAAGATTGGTGGCCGCGCTTCACTTATCACGGCTTCCGGTACGTCGAGGTCACAGGCTTCCCGGGGACGCTCACAGCTGCCAATATCTCCAGGTTGCGCCTCAGCACTGCCTTGGAGTCGAAGGTCCAGGCCACCTTCGGCGATGAAGTATTGCAGGCCATTCACGAGGGCTCGCGGGGCTCGCAGCTGTCGAACCTGGTGCAGCTGCCCACAGACTGTCCTCAGCGCGATGAGCGGCTGGGCTGGCTAGGGGACGTCAGTCTGTCTGCAGAGTCGATGTTCCTCCATTTTGACTACGCAGGGATGGCCACTGCGTTCGCCGACTCGATGATAGACGCCATGGGCGAAGACGGCAGCCTGCCAGATATAGTGCCGTGCGGGCCCCGTTGTCCAGCTCGCCCGGGAGATTCCTCGTGGCAGGCAGCATTCCTTGAGATTCTCACGCAAGTTTGGAAGGTGGATGGCGACCTTGAACCAGCAAGGGCACGCTGGTCAGCCATCTTCAGGCACGTTGCGAGCATCGAGGCCGAGTTTTCGAGGCGGCAGACCCTCAAACAGTGGCCGGAGTACTATGGTGATTGGTGCCCGCCGCCGCACACCCCTGGAGGCCTCGGCGGGCAAGAGGTGGCCTCGCACGGATTCGCCGCGGCGTTTTCCGCGGCCCGCACCGTGCAGCAGGCGGCAGACCTTGCGGGTGCGCTCGGCCTGGAGGCCCAGGCGAACCTTTCTGCGCTCGCCTGCAGGATGCGGGAGGACTTCCACGCCAGCTTTTTCGACCCCGCGACGAGCTCGTACGACACGGGCACCATGCTGAGCTACGTGCTGCCCCTGGCGCTGGGTGCGGTGCCCCAGGACGTGGACGCAGTGGTCTTCGAAGAAGAAAGGAGACACACATTAATTTCCGGAGCTCCGCGCAAATCTCTGGAGTGGACGCCTAAGCCCGGCCGGCGGCGCCTCTGGCGCCGCCCCTGGCGCGCTCCGCGCTCCAGGGAGGGGGTGCCCAGCGCGGATCCAAAAATCCGCGCGGAGCTCCGAAAGTTTATGCTCATGACGATGTGGTTCTCCGAGGTTTTTCAGGGCCTGCTGGACCACATCGCCAGCAAGAACGGCACCTGGTCCGGCGGCATCATCAACAACCGGTTCCTGTTCGACCTGCTGGCCGATCGCGGCCACGCCGACCTCGCGCTGGCCATGCTGCAGCGCAGAGACTACCCGTCGTACGGCTACATGTATCGAAGACACCTACGGCAAATCGCCGCCGCCACCCTGCCTTGTTGGGACGCGCCTCTGTGGCCAGACGTTTTTTCGGGGCCTTTGGGGGCTTGTTGGGGGCCTCGTTGGCCGTCTTGGGGCGTTCCTGGCCCGTCTGACGCCCTTGGAAGTCGTCGTGGGGGACTCTCTGAACCGACTTGGGGTCCTCGTGGGCAGCTTCAGGGCCGTCTCGGAAGCCATTTGGGGCGTATTGGAGGTCTTTCTGAACCCACTTGGGGACCTCTTGGGGCCGCCTTGGGGAACTCTTGGGCCATCATAGGGCCATCTTGGAGGCCTCTTTGGGCGACCTTGGGAGCTTCTTAGGTCGTCGGAAGGCCGAAAATAAGCAAATGCCAACATCGTTCAAACACCTAGGTAAAATCAATGATTTTGGGCTCTCTGGGCCTTGTACGCCTCCTGGGGACCGCTTGAGCCATCTGGAGGCCATCTTAGGCCGGCTTGGGTGCATCTTGCATCTTGGGCCGTCTTGGAGGCATCGTGGGGCCATGTTGGGCATTCTTGGGGGCACCTGAGCCGAATTTGAGGCCATCTTCGCCATCGTCGAGGCTGTCCTGCGGCCATCTTGAGAGGCAAGGCCAACGGAGCTGGAATTTGCCAGGTGGCCCGCGCATTAGGTCCAAGGCCCCTCGGTACCAAAGCAGAATAACAACCTAGGACCTAAAAGTTCGGCACGCCGTGCACCCCTGTGGCAAGCCACTGGCGGCGGGGGATCGAGTGGCTTTCGGCTCATCCCGCCACCGTGCTTTGGTTGTAGGTCAGAGGCCTCGTGGTTGCCTTTAGGCTTTCAGGGATCTTTTGGGAGGCCTCTCGGAAGCCTCTTGGGCGCTGTTTTGGAGAGTCTTTGGGGCCTCGGGGGCCTCAATTGGGACTTCTCGGGGCCTCATGGGGCGGAGGGCCCGAAAGACCTGTCGGCACTCCACCTCGTGCCTCAGGGAGCGGTGGCGGATTTCAACAACCTGGAGCCTGCGAGGGAGTGCATGTGGGAGCTCCCCGACGCTCCCTTCCAGGGCGACCTCATGAACTCCAGGAATCCCGTGATGCGCTGCCGCGCGAGCCTGCCGCCGCGCCCCGGGTTGGGAGGGCACCTGCGGGAGGGAGGAGAAGGAGGAGGAGGAGGAGGAGGAGGGCCAGGGAGTCGTGGCGAATCTGGGGGGCCGGGGTAGCCCGGACACGCCATCCCCAGAGGTCAGAGGCTCCGAAAACATTGGGGCGGCCGTTGTTGTTGTTGCTGCTATGTTTGGCCTTGGGGGGCCCTCGACGGGCCTCAGGACCGTCAACACAATGGCACAACGACTCGGGATGAATAGCTGGCCCTCGAGGGAAGTTGTCTAGACCTCTGGGGTAAGAACATGCAGCCTCGTATGTTTGGGTCTTGTAGCCCGAGCCCGCCACCTGGCAGCGCCCCGAAAAACGCCATCTGACAGCCCGGGCGGCCCTTGAACATCACTGCCCCCACCCTCCCCGCAGTGACCCATTGGCATCCTCATGCGCACACGACGTGCCGCGGGCGCGCTGGCGGACCACCACATGTTCTCCTCCGTCGGGGCGCACCTCGTCCGCCGCCTGGCGGGGCTGAGCAGGGGCCCCGCCGCGGGGGAGCTGACGGCAGCAGTGGGCCCGAGGGGCCTCCAGAGCGCCACCGCGCTCCTGCGCATGCCCCGGGGCGAGGCCACGTGGGCCTGGAGGTGGACCGGCGACCACCTCTCGGCGGAGATCCTCGTGCCCGTGGGCATGCGCGCGCGGGTGCTGCTGCCCGCCGCGCTGAGCGTCCGCGTGCCGACCCTGCGGGGGCCGGCGGGGGAGCGGGGCCCTCCCACTGGGGACGGCCGCGCCCACGCGGCGCCGCCAGCCCCCCGGAGGGAGCCCGGCGCACCCGCCGCCCTGCAGAGCATCTCGCTGCCCTCGGGGCGCCACTCGCTGGCGGCGCGGCCCGGCACGGGCCCCGCGGGCCGCGGGCGCTCTGGGTGAGGCGGCGCCTCCTCCGCTGCGTGCCCGACGTGCCCTCGGGCCCCCGGCCAGGACCACTTGCTGTGGCGGTGCAGAGCCAGGGCGGGGCCCGCCGCCAGACCGCGGGCGCACCCGACGGGGACCCGCGGGGCCCACCGGCCGTGGCGCAAAAGGGTAGGAGGGCCAGGGGCGAGCATTCTCGGGTGACTGGGCTGTTTGCCAAATCTCGGGCCGCCGCGGAGCTCCCGCCCCCTCGTCGGGGCTGCTGCTTGGCACCGCATGGTTTCTTCACGGCCCGGGAGCCCAAAAAATCGTGAAGAAGCATCGGCCTTGATTTTCCAAGTCGCTAGTCTAGCATCGGCCTTGATTTCCCAAGTCGCTAGTCTAGCATGGAGTGCGCCCATCTGCTGCTGCTCGTGCCGCTCTGCTGCTGCTGCTGCTGCTGCTGCTGCTGCTGCTGCTGCTGCTGCCGCTGCTGCCGCTGCTGCCGCTGCCTGCGCGCGCCCTCCACCCGTGGTGACTGGTTGGATGTGACCTCCACCTGCTGCTGCTGCTGCTGCTGCTGCTGCTGCTGCTGCTGCTGCTGCTGCTGCTCCACCTGCTGCCACCTCTGAGAGGTGGCAGCAGGTGGAGCCTGGCTCTGAGAGGTGACAGCAGCACGAGTAGCAGCAGGAGCACGAGCAGCAGCAGATGGGCGCACTCCATGCTGCAGCAGTCGCCGTACGCAGCGCATGCGAGGGGGCCGGAGAGCTGCCGCCGGTTGCCCCCGCCTCCACCCCCCACGCTCCTCCCAGGTTCTGCGTACGCATGGCCTCCAAGCCGGGGCGGCTACACTCGGACACGTGACGTCGCAGGTGGCGCTGGAGATGCGCCACTTACCTCTGCCGATGATCCTCAGTACGTGTGTACGCTCAGTGTTCCCCCCGTGTGTCGGCCCTCACTTTGCTGCGTGCGTCGCATGGCAGTGCCTCGGTGGACCTTGGCGTTAACAGGCTCTAGCGTTGTTGTGGCCGTCGGGGAGCCGCCATCTGCACGACCGCCTGCGCGCCTGCACGCTCGACGGCCTCCGCGCCCGCGCGCCCGAGCGACCGCTGCACGCCCTGAGCACCTGCCGCACGCCTCAGGGCGCCTGCCGCGCAGCACTGCTGCGCTCCCGTGGCGCCCGCCGCGCGCCCGCGTGCGCGTGCCCCCGCACGGCCCCGCTCAGGTGGACGACCCCGAGCCCTTCCGCTCCCTGTGCTCCGTGCTGCTGCTCTCGCCAGAGGACTCGGGCCCGCCCCCTGCCTCCCCAGACCCCTTCGAGTCACGACGGGAGGTTCTTCCTTAATTTTCGGCGTCCGGGGGCCCTTACCGGGCCGCGGGAACGTCAAACAACGACTGAGGACGAAGACCTTGTCCCAAGAAGGGGGTCGAGACCTCTGGGGGTCGACGCTCTGAAAGAATCATGACGTCGGGGATCCGGGTCGGGCAGGGGGGGAGGGGGCGAAACAGGGGCGACGCAGGGAGGGCAGAGGAAGGTGCACCTCCAGGGCCCCAAATGGGCCCTCTGGGGCCCCAAGAGGGACGCGAACGGTGCACGCCGCACCCAGCGAGCAGCGCCCAGCGGTCCCGCTGCTGCCAGGGGCAACGTTAGGGGTCGATGGGCTCAGTGACAGCCCG